AAAAAAACACCTTCCCTCACCACCACCCCAAAATACTTTTTTTTTTTTTTAAATATGTGCATTCCCCCTTTTTCTAAGGGAAGCAAGTTCAACAATGATAAGCAAAACGTAGACAATTCCAATTTCAGCCTATTTGACGAAATTATAGAGCGTGAAATGCACATAAGATTCACCCTTCTGGCCATGTTCTATTTGAAGAAACAAAATGAAAGCCTTTCAGAGCGTTGACTGACTCGATGACAGTCTAAAAATCCAATATAGTTTAGAACAAAGAATTGTCACCGGTTCTCTTTTGCTACATAATCAGTTCCTTTAGTGGTTTTGGTTGTACTAGAATTCAAAGAAAAATAATGGCTGACCTATGCTACCTAGGCAGGCCACAAAGTAGTTTAGATATAAATCAGATGAGACAAGTTAAATATTAGAAGAAACAAGAAAAGGTTGTTAGGTATATTCTCTAAAACATAATAAATGGTAATAGGAGTTAAGGTCGCTAGGTGCTTCTCAATATAAATTCTTTTTAAGTTCATAAAAATTTCGTGTAACAATTTACTGAATGACATGTATGGTAACCAACGTGGGACTTCCTCAAATTTCACACGTGTATCACAAGGTCCTAATGCACCTGTTTGAGTCAATGATCTTGGATTTGATTAAGCTATCTATTTGTCACCCTATATCGAAATACGGATATATGTAGTTTCCTTTGGAAACAAATATTTGTAACTAACTGTCAAGGCTACACTGGTCGCTAGATCTTATAATTGTCACCATGTTCATTTTAAATGATGCTTTCCAAATCCCTGCTTCACCAAAAAACAATCTAAAGTATATACATTGGAGTGCAAGACTACTAAGACGATGGTAGGGTTGTTTTTTTTTACCCCTCTGATTTTGGATAATTGACAGGAGCGATAAATTGAATTAACCTTTCATGTCATTAAGATATTGTTTGTCAAGACATCACTTTTCTAACATGCCTATGTCTGCGAAATAGTACCTTTTGAAAACTACAGGATACTGAACAGTTTTCATATTTATAAAGAGCAATCAGAAAATTAAAACCAAGCGAAGACCATGTTTAGGAAACATTTTTTTCTTTGTATTTTTATGAGTAAAATAGCAAAAAAATGAGAATAATATACTTGGTTACTTTTCTGTTTCCATGTGTATCTTTTATAAGCAATCGCAGAAATAATCTAACATTAGTGCGTAAGAAACTGGGAGACCAATGGGTAAAAGACTTAGAAAAGGTAAGAAAATAATGAGAAGATGGCCTCTATGATGATATTGAGATGTGAATCCGCATATTGCGAAGAAACTAGAAGCGAATAAATCACTACACATAGGTAAACAGCAAAATATACCATCAGGTTCAAAGAATAGGGGAGTAATTCATGTCACTTGATGTATCTCGCACTTCTTTAAGACACAAGATTGCGAAAGTGCACTTTTGTACAAGTCCTCAGTTCAAAGTAACTGTGTTGATGCATATGTCAAATAGGGGGAGGAAAAACAGATCTAGAACGGCCAGAATCTCGAGAGGATATTCTATTATTAAGTGTGGATATAGTAGGAGAGAGTCGACGAGTATGCAATCTCTATAGGGTCAGAAAGCGAGCAATATGTTTTAAATGGAAAAGGGATGTTAACAATGTCAGTAAGTTTACTGTGCAAGCCTTGCCTTAACATCCTTTGTTTGGTCTAAATTTGAAGTCTGATAGCAAATATAACAATAGAGTCAGCAAAAATACTAAACATAAGCACCCTACTCAGTATTCATTATTGTAGTGGTATACTTAACACTTTAACAAATATATAGTGATCATTACTAATTATGCTCTACCTAACAGGAAAAGGACTAAAGGTCCAATTATTGGCAAAAAAACATAGTAGTTACAAGTCAAGACAGAAAACCATACAAGATATCCAAGTGAACTCAATATACATAGGCCATTGTGCTATACTTTTCCCAAGTAGAGTCAATAGCCCTATATTATTCCAGTAGTTCGATTGGGCTTGGATCAGAGGCAATGAATTACAAATCAGCAATTTCTAAAACTACAAGGAACGATTATAAACACAATAACTTTTGTCAAAATAAATCACCAGCGAAACAGTTTCTTATGAAATTTATACCTTCTTGTTTCCCTTCAATAATTGTAGTTCGTGGTGTCTACTTTATTTCCTTTTCCAAACTGATGTGTTTATGCTTTCCTTGAGCCGAGAGTCTATCAGAAACAACATGTGTCTACCTCCACAAGGTAGGGGTAAGGTCTGCATACAAATTACCCTCCCCAGACCCCACTCGTGGGATACACTGGGTATGTTGTTGTCGTTGTTGGTATCTAGAAAATCAAATTCACAGGACGCAACTACATTTCTCCCCTTAAAAGCTTGATCTTTGATATAATCTTTACAACTAACTGAACATAGCTTACGAAACAAGAAGGAGGTCATGGAGAGGGCTCTCCCTCAGCTAGTCTTTTTTTCTTATTTTAAAATCAGTCTAATTACAATCTTTGATAGAATAATTTGAAAACCATAAACATTAACTCTTAAAAACTGAATCTTTAATATAATCATTTCAAAGCAAAATGGATATACTAGCAAAATAAGACAATCAGAGCAAACCCCAGAGCAAATTTACACTCAAAAATTGAATCTTTAATATGATTATCTCAAAATTGCCAGGAATTAACTTACAGAAACAACTTCAAAATTAGTAAAATAAGCCAATCAAAACAAACCCCTGATCAAATTTACTCTCAAAAATTGAATCTTTAACATAATTATCTCAAAACAAAATGGAAATAACTTACAGAAACAACTTCAAAATTAGTAAAATAAGCCAATTAGGACAAACCCCAGATCAAATTAACTCATAAAAATTGAATCTTTAACATAATTATCTCAAAACAAAATGGAAATAACTTACAGAAACAACTTCAAAATTAGTAAAATAAGCCAATTAGGACAAACCCCAGATCAAATTAACTCATAAAAATTGAATCTTTAACATAATTATCTCAAAACAAAATGGAAATAACTTACAGAAACAACTTCAAAATTAGTAAAATAAGCCAATTAGGACAAACCCCAGATCAAATTAACTCATAAAAATTGAATCTTTAACATAATTATCTCAAAACAAAATGGAAATAACTTACAGAAACAACTTCAAAATTAGTAAAATAAGCCAATTAGGACAAACCCCAGATCAAATTAACTCATAAAAATTGAATCTTTAACATAATTATCTCAAAACAAAATGGAAATACTAGTAAAATAAGCCTATTCGAGCAAAACCCCAGAACAAATGTACACTAAAAATTGAACCTTTAACATAGTTACCTCAAAACAAAATGGAAATAAGCAGAGCAAAATCCCAGAACAAATTTACACTAAAAATTGAATCTTTAACATAATTATCTCAAAACAAAATGGAAATACTAGCAAAATAAGCCAATCAGAGCAAACCCCAGATCAAATTTACTCACAAAAACTGAATCTTTAACATAAATATCTCAAAACAAAATGGAAATAACTTACAGAAACAACAAGGAGGGCACGTAGAGGGCTTCCTTTGCGAGTCCAAGAATAAACATTATGAGCAGTATTCTTTGAAGCTTGATGTATCAAAGGAACATTTTCAGAAATAGCCACTTTAATCCTCTGAATTAAAGGATCATTATTATTATTATCAGAAGAGAAAATTGCAGACACAAAACGGTTGAAAATATCAAAAAGAGTAACCCCTTTTTCATTTTCTTGAATATTCATCCCTTTTGATTTATTGAAATTTGTTGAATCCTCCTTAGTTTCATCTATAATTACTTCTCCATTTGATTTTTCTTCACTAGTTGAATCCTCCATAGCCATAGCTAAAGCTTGAATATCTCATCCAACTGTTGCACTCACACTTGGTCAATAAATAATTTGATGGATCTTAGTTTAAAGGTGTACAACTTTTTCCTACGTTTGACGGTTAAATAAAATAAAATAAGTTGATTTCAAAAGGTTGTGTTTATCCTACTTTATATTTTACACGACGGTATATTGAAGGGGTGTGAATTTTATTTTAGATAATATTAGTTAATGATTATTGAAATATTAGTTTGATAGTGCTAAAATTTTAAGAAACTCAATAAACTTAAATCTAAAAAATTCAATATCAATAGTGGCTCAATATCGCATAGGGCTTGTCTAGTGCGGTTTACATTCCCTGTGTGATTTACAAGCTATTAAACAGGGGGAGATTTACCCAGTGCACACAAAGTGCTCACCCGAAGGGCAGAGGTTGTGGCAGAGGTTATAGCGACTACAGGTTCCCCTCTTACCAAAAAAAAATATTAAGCAAATTGAGGTTTTAGTGATATAAATTTTAGCTATTCACATCGCTCTATTTAAATATATTTTGTTTAATATAGTACAAATTAAAATTAAACTAAAAAAAAAGTACAAGAATTTTCGCTATAATTTTTACTAGCATATGATATAAAGCTATGGCATAAATAAAAGATTTCTAAAAAATATAGGACCAAAATGACATAAACAAAATTTAGTCTTAACTCATTGTTACAGTCTAATTTTGCGTTATTAGTTTGCGCTCGACTTCCAAATAGATGGTAGGTTTTTGAGGAAAAAATTCATGTGATTTTGATTTTTCCTCGCCTTTTTAATATTTGCATTCACCATAAATGTATACTTATGAATTATTGTATCTAAAAGTCCACATAAAACATAGTAATAAAATCAGATCAAGAAACTTTTTATTTTATAAGCAATATGCTATTTGCGGCAGAATGTGATAATTTATAATCCTGTTTAATTTTACATACAATAGCATATTTATCGTAACGTTCGTTTCTCTGCAATAATACCCGCCTATGATTTTTGATATCATATTTCGTGATCAATAAAATTTAACCACCTATTGCTTGAATGCAGCTAGGTTGGTTTCTTGTTATACTATAATTAAGAAAAAAGAATCACCAAAAGATGTGATGCGGTGGATGAGATTGTTCTTCCTTTAACCAGAGATCTCGGATTCGAGTCTTGGCTATGAAAAAATCTTTGTGGGAGTGTTTTCCCTTGAATGGGGTCCTACGCGGCGCGAATTCAAATATAGTCGAACTCAAATGCAGGTACTGGACATCGGGCGAGGAAAAACAAATTAAGAAAAAAGAAAACTGAGTTACGTGGAGAAATTTGCCGACAGCAGATTGATGGGATTGATTGTGCGAAAGTGACGATCAACCATTGATGTCAATCCAAGTGTTTTGACATGAATCAGCATTTTCTTGAAAAAGCTTAAACAACCATGGCCTACATATATTGCACTATATTAGGGAGACTTCTACTAATACTTCCTCTCACTATTTTGTGATGCACTTTGACTGAGAATTTGAAGGGACATCTTAGAGCAACGATAAAGTTATTTTTAATCGACTTATAGGTGATAGGTTTGAGTTATGAAAGTAGTCACTAATACTTGCGTTAGGAGATGCTATTCTTCCCCCGATCCTGCATAAATGGGAAATGCTTTGTTCACCTGGTTGCCGCACTTTGATTGAGAATAAAGTTTGAAAAGAAAGAATTTTTTTATGAAACTTGTGGTCAAAAACAAGTTATATATATTTGTATGTAATAAATATTATTTACAAGATGAGAAGTTTAAAGTTAATTAAATAGTATAAATATAATTAGTTATCATTCTTTTTGGTACATATTAAATGAAAAGTACATCACATAAATTGGGATAGAAGAAATGTTATTTAGCAAAACCACTTGTATATAGCTGCATTCATGGCTGCCATTGCGGTTCAACAAACTCTGGAGATTTTAATGCATTTCTGTTTGCATGTGATGATCTTATTGATCTAAGTACAAGTTTAAGAAGGTATGTACATATGTTTGTATTTTGTATATTCAATTGCCATAAGTATAGTTCAGAAAAAGACACAAGTAGTACTCCCCCTTTAAAAAAGAATGAAAGGGTTGAGTGTACGAGTGTCAAACAGAGGCGGACCCAGAATTTGACGGTCACAGCGGGTGTACATAGGTCGGGTTGGTTCGGATTTTACAATTACCAAACCAAACCAATTGTGTCGGATTATTAAATCTAAAGACCAAACCAAACCAATAAAACTCGGGTTTTTCACTCTCGGGGTTTCGAGTTATTCGGGGGTTTTTGGGTTTTTTCCGATAAAATTTTCGTAGAATAAAACATATAAATTATGCTCAAAATATTTCTTTAGTCCGAGTAGAATACAACTATATAAAGTATTTTCGATTTTTTGGCCAATATTGTCCCTTATCTTTGAGGGTAGGTCTATTTTGGTCCCTCAAATATATCCCTGAGCATATTTAGTTCCTTAAGTATGCTAAAGTTGAGCACATTTAGTCTCACTGACAGAATCTATCCAAGATCAATTACAGGGTTGGTTTCGGCACTCACTGTCTTTTTAATTTACTTATCAAAAAAAATTTATAAACCAATCCCCCACTAATAGTACAAAACTGATAATTTAGATTTTAACATTTAAACTTTTACTTTTAACAATTTCGGTTGATTTTTCCAAAAAGAAAAGTTAAAATTTGAAAAAAAATAGAGTTGCCAAGATCACTTCTAGGCATATTATTAAAGCAAACGAATAACCAGATTGTATTATCATTTTTAGCCAGCGCCAGAAACTATTTACATCTAATAGCTGAAAAAGTATATAAAATTTGTAAAATTATTGTATATTAACATACAAAATGTATATATACACAAAATCATATACAAAATTTATACCTTTTTTGGCTAATATTTTTACAATGGCTATACAATATCATTTTCTCATTGAAAATTGGCACAGAAGGGGATATTATTTAGGTCAAAATTTTAAAAGACATTATCTAAAAATGAGGAATTAAAGTGATAATTTGCGTTATCCAATAAAAGGAGAGAAACATTTTGCTTCAGAGCAAAAGATTTGCTTCATGAATCAGAATTGGTTAACACTGTTAGTTTTTTAATACATTCTATCAGTGAGACAAAAGGTGCTCCACTTTAGCATACTTAAGGGACTAAATATGCTCAAGGTTATATTTGAGGGACCAAAATAGACATACCCTCAAAGATAAAGGACAATATTGGTCAAAAACCCAAGTATTTTCCAAGAAAATAATATAATATATGAGATATGTCATGGCATTATCCTAAAATATTCAACAATAAAGTTATGTAATATAAATAATGCTAATTAAAAAGTCATAATAAAAATAAACATAATCTAAGAGTACTAAGTCATGCTAAAATAAGTAGACTAATAAGGGAGTATTAAATACATGACTAAACGCTAAAGAAAATATAAAAATAGGTTATGCATTTTATCTAAATTATTGCAAAACAAAAAATAGATATTCAATACATTCCCGTTCGTAGTATTGAATTAAATTTCTTTTGTTAGCATTAGTATTGATTTGATTTTGGTTTGGGCTTTTGTTAGCACTATTTAATTTACTAATGTTAATGGCTATAAAACTTATTGGAACATTCGAAAGTTCTAAGTCCAACCTTGAAATAATACCTCAAAAAATAAAATTATGAAATCTTTTAAGAAATATTTATAAATTACATCACAATAAATATATTTATATATTAAATATATCTAAAAAATTTATATATGCAATGTCGGGTTGGTTTTGTTTCGGTTTGACTTTCTTTAGTTAAAACCAAACCAAACCAATTATGGTCGGGTTTTTTTTTCCAACACCAAACCAAATCAAACCAACTCATAGTCGGGTTTTTTTTCTCAGTTTGACTCGGATTATCGGGTTGGTGTGGTTTATCGATTTTCTTTGTACACTCCTAGTCACAGGGGCACTGTTACATTCAATAATTAATGGTACAGTGGCATCTGTTAATATTAACTATTTCTTGAAGATATTTGTAATTAGATATGGAGTTTTTGTCGAAATTTCTGGGTGTCGGTAACCCCTCTACCTACCATGTAGGTCCGCCTCTGGTTTCAAACCTTCCAAGCAAAAGGGTAGTCCGCTGTACAAGGTATCCCCCGTTTGTTAGAACATGCGCAGCGGAAGCAAGCATACAATCCAGGTATCAAATACATGTGAACTAGACAACGCAATAATAACGAGATTAGAAGCACTAACCTCTTGAAGTAGTTGCACAAACCTTCCAAGCAGCAAGAATCCTGGGTTGCATTCTTCTGCTATTTGCCTAGTAAAACCTTTGAACGATTTTGCTATTGGGTGGGCAAGAACAATACAACTGAAAGGTAAGTTATTAGGTGAAACTAGTCTTCCTTTAATAGACTTATTTTTGGACGAAAATCCTCCTCCAAAAACGTGTAGGATTCTCCTTCTCCAAGTAGAATCCTACTTCAACTCTATTAGATGACTTTTCTCCCAAGTCACTTTTTACCCAAGTCTTGTCCAGGTTTTTACTAGGTATAGTAGGGACCACAGAAATAATAAAAGGCTACCAATTATAGTATCAATTCGAAATTAGCATGACTTAATTCTTACTATAACAAATTGTAATTTATTCCACTAAAGACTGCAATTGAACTCCTCAATATGAATTTCGAAAATTTAATAACACTTATTTTATCTCCCCATGTTAAGATATCAAATACCAGTTAATTAAATTAAATCACTGAAAATTTAATTTAATCAACTAATTAAATCCTTTATAATTCCGCTTAAAATATTTCATGTGACGGATACAAAATCCACCGGCCGGGTTTTCACATGAAAACTTATAGGCTTACATAAAGGGGTATCATCAAACTCAAAACGAGTCATGGATTCTATCAGCTAATTATTATTCACAAATATTATTCGTTATTGTCCAATCTATTAGGCATACACTAACTCTAAATAGAGTCGTACCTTTTGATAAATCGAAACAATAAACAAATTACATTGATCATAATAATTATATCAAAATTAGGAGTATAAGCTCATTTAATGAATTAGAGAATTTTTTTTA